ATTCAATAGGAAATTCAAAAACTCTCTGTTCCATAATACCTCTTGTGCAGAGAAAGAAATAATAAATAAATAATAAATAAATAATAAATAAATAATAAATAAATAATAAATAATAAATAAATAATAAATAAATAATAAATAAATAATAAATAAATAATAAATAAATAATAAATAAATAATAAATAAATAATAAATAAATAATAAATAAATAATAAATAAATAATAAATAATTAATAAACCCTCAAACCATAAAATTTCCTTCTTCATGTTTAACAGTAGATAATTAATATTTTAGATTGAGTAAATATTTAAGAAAAATTGAGAAAAGCTATGAAAAGTTATAAAGACTTAAGGGGTAAACAGATTCTATCTGTTGACCAGCCTCGCACCCCTTCCTCATCTATTAGGCTGGCGCAGATGTATTTTTAATACATTGTTTCCAGTTTAGGATGTTGAACGCTGGATCTTCTTGACTCAATGCGTGGGTATTGCTTGTGTCTCTATTTTTACGACTGGGCAACTCATTCTATTATCTCCTAATGAGGGTACAGCTCTAAAACTCAGTTTTATGGTTCTGAGGCCGGCTGGTAGTCAGGTTTCCCGAACTCTGTGGTAGCACTCAGAGAGGCTGATTCCATCAACAGCCGAAAAATATCAGAGTACTAACAGTGCCATGTTGCGCATGGATGGTGTCCCTGTTTGTACTTTTGGTGTGCATTGCAGAGGCGACATTTGGAGCCCTTTGTTACGGCTTAGGGTTTATTAATAGTAATGAGGCTATTGCTTAGTTGTTAAATAGTGTACTGAGTACTATCTATACTTGAGTCAAGTTCTTTATAAATTCAAAATGACTAAAGTACCTAAAACTAATAAACACAAAAAACCATCGTCATCACCAAGTTCTCTAAACCTATCATTTACTAATATTCGTGGTCTTCGAAGTAACTTTTCTTCTGTTGAGTCTTATCTCTTGCAAAGCTCACCAGACCTACTTGCTCTTTGTGAGACTAATTTGAGTTCGGCTGTCCCATCTTGTGATTTTAGCGTTGATGGTTATCTTCCTTTAATTCGTAAAGACTCCAATAATCACATGCTTGGCCTGGGCATCTACATTCATAAGAACTCACCCATTTGTCGTGAAACTAGGTTTGAATCTACAGACTATTCATTTATGTGCTTTTGTTTAGCACAACTTCACTCTATCGCCTTTCTCTTTGTTCTATATCGCTCTCCTTCATCCCAAGATTGCACTATTCTTGATGCTATTTCTGATCAAATTGACCAAGCCCTCTCTCTTTATCCATCGGCCAATATCGTCGTTGTTGGTGACTTTAATGCCCATCACACCGATTGGCTTGGCTCTAGTGTCAGTGACTCTGCTGGCGTTAAGGCCCTCAACTTTTGCCTTTCTCAATCTCTAACTCAAATAGTCAACTTACCAACTCGTTTTCCAGACAACCCTAATCATTTACCTTCTCTACTCGACTTATGTCTTGTTTTGGATCCTAGTCAGTGCTCAATTTCTCCACATTCACCCTTAGGTACTTCTGATCACGGTTTGATCTCTCTAAAACTATTATCAAACTCTTCTACTTCATCAGAATCCCCCTATCATTGTACCACATACAACTACCTTAAAGCTGACTGGGACTCTTTCCGTGATTTTCTTCGTGATGGCCCTTGGGTAGAAATCTTTCGTCTTCCTGCTGACAAATGTGCTTCTTACATAACTTCGTGGATTCAGGCTGGCATGGAATCTTTTATTCCCTCTCGACGATTCCAGGTCAAGCCTCACTCTTCTCCTTGGTTTTCCTCACATTGCGCTGCAGCAATTTCTAATCGAAACCGTTACTTCCATATCTATCAGCAAAACAATTCTCCAGAAAACAGACATCTGTTCACTATCGCCAGAAACCATTGTAAAAAGGTTTTGTCTGACGCCAAAGCTCGCTATTCTCAGGTCATTAAATCTCGTATCTCATCACAAAAATTAGGCTCTCGAGACTTCTGGAGAATCTTTAACAGTATCAATAATAAGGGCAAATCTGTTATTCCTTCTCTCTTGTATGGTTCAGACTTTGTCACCTCACCTAAAGACAAAGCTGAATTGATTGGTAAGAACTTTTCATCAATATCATCTCTTGATTCCACTAGTTGCGTTTTACCTGACATAGCTGTCAAACAGGTTGATCCCTTGCTTGACATTCGCATCACTTCAGCTTCTGTATCAAAAGTAATTTCCTGCTTAGACTCTTCAACAGCTTGTGGTCCTGACAACATTCCTGTTGTCAGGAATGTTGTCAGGACCACAAGCTCATACTTTCTAAACTATTTAACAAGTGCTTATCAGAGTCTTGTTTTCCATCATGCTGGAAAGCAGCATCTGTTATCCCTATTTTCAAAAGTTCTGGAGAGCGATCTGATTCATCTAACTACCGTCCCATTAGTCTTCTTCCTGTCATAAGCAAGGTTTTTGAATCTTTAATTAACATACACTTAATCTCTCATCTTGAATCAAATAACTTACTTTCTGATCATCAATATGGATTTCGGTCTTCTCGTTCTACAGCTGATGTGCTAACAGTAATAACCGATAGGTTTTACCGTGCATTAGATAGAGGTGGAGAGGTTAAGGCTATCGCACTTGACATTTCTAAAGCTTTTGATAAAGTTTGGCATGCTGGTCTTCTCCATAAGCTTTCTTCTTATGGTGTAGCTGGTAACATCTTTAAGATTATTGAGTCCTTTCTCTCCAATCGTAGTATAAAAGTTGTCCTCGATGGACAACGCTCTTCTTCACATCCTGTAACTTCAGGGGTTCCTCAAGGTTCAATCCTTGGCCCTATACTCTTTTTAATTTACATTAACGATCTTCCAGATATTCTCACATCTAAGGTGGCATTATTCGCTGACGACACTACCATTTACTCTTGTCATGATAAGAAGCCTACACTCTCTGATTGCTTGGAGGGGGTATCTGAGCTTGAAAAGGATCTCACTTCTGCTACAGCATGGGGCTCACAGTGGCTGGTGAACTTTAATTCAGATAAAACTCAACTTTATTCGGCCAATCGTTATCGTAATAATTTAGATCTTCCTATATTTATGAATGGTAATGTACTAGATGAGTCATCTACCATTCATCTTCTAGGATTAACTCTTACTTCTGATCTTTCTTTTAAACCGTATATCAAATCCATTGCAAAATTAGCATCTGCTAAGGTTGCATCTCTTTATCGAGCTCGACACTTTCTTACTCCAGATTCTATTCTCTATCTTTATAAATCTCAAATCCGTCCCTGTATGGAATACTGTTGCCACATCTGGGGCGGATCTTCTAATGATGCTCTTTCTCTTTTAGACAAGGTGCAAAAACGAATTGTAAACATAGTTGGACCTGCTCTGGCAGCCAATCTCCAACCTTTGTCACATCGTCGTAATGTTCCTTCTCTTTCTCTTTTCTACAAATACTATAATGGGCACTGCTCTAAAGAGCTAGCGTCCCTTGTGCCATCTACTAAAATTCATTCTTGTGTTACTTGCCATTCAATTAAGTCTCATCCTTTTTCTGTGACCGTTCCTAAGTGCTTCAAAAACTCTTATTCTTCTAGTTTTTTTCCTCGAACATCAGTTCTTTGGAATTCGCTTCCTTCATCTTGCTTTCCTGATTCATATAATTTGCAATCTTTTAAGTCATCAGTCAATCGTCATCTTGCTCTACAGATTTAGTCTTTTCTCTTCCAGTAACTTCCAACTCTTATAGTGGTTGCTTGCAGCCTTGTTGGAAGTGAAGATGTTAAAAAAAAAAAAAAAAAAAAAAAAAAAAAAAAAAACCAAAGAAAAGCTACCATTTCTAAATTTTAGCACGCTACTGCATTTATGCTTTTTTTTTTAAAATGTTATTTCTCTCTTTGTCTTTGCATTATTTTTAGCTTATTGTTTACAAAAAACAATTAGTTTTAGAAAAAATTCCCCTCAATTTAAAATTTAAATTGTGCAAAATGCAAGTAAAGCAAGTTGGAAAGTATGTTTGAAAGGTTATTTATTATTTAGTAAAAGAGAATGTCCTTTATTAAAAGAGAATGTAAGATCACATCTTGAAAATATTTGTAGAAACCAACAAATATTTATGCTTGTATCTGTTGCAAGCATAGATTTCCAGCCTTTGGATTGGCTTCTTTTTATTTTTAATTTCTTTGCTATATAACAAGCAATTGTTGTTGTAGTCATAAAGTAAGCACATACAAAAGTTGTGCTTACTTTATGAAGTTTGAAGTCATAAAGTAAGCACATACAAAAGTGAGCATGTACACATTCTTCAATAAATTCTTATATAAACATTCCTTGAGAACGCAAAGTTGTGATAAGAGCAGATAATGTTTGTTTTAACAGTGTAAAAATCTGAGATTTCTGCCAAAGTTCAACTCAATTAGCTAGTTTCCTTAAAAAAGTTGTTTGACCATCATCAAAAATAATTGCATTACCAAGTATCTTAATTTTTAGATTAATTTGAAATGAAGCAGACAAATACACTTATTTTTTTTAGGTGATCAAATTTTAAATTGTAATAAATTAGGCAATTAAGATGCTTTATAAATTGAAAACCTTCTGGTGAATGAATTTACTGTTCAACTTGTTCCACTCAGTTATTAGTTTTATTTATTTAATACATATATATATACTTTTTTTTCTTCTCATATTGCACTGTTATTTTTATTTTGCTGCATATTTAGAATCAATCTCTAAATTACTTTACAAAATTAAAAAAATCTTGTTTTGTTGTTAATTGGTTTTATAAAAACAATTTTCTGTTTCCAAACTGTTTCTAATAGTTTCATAGTACCGCTTTAAGACAACATATCTAAAACTTATCGCATTAAGAGTTAACAAAGTGATTCAAACTGAATTAGAATTAAAACATATTAATTTATGCTAACAGTCAACTAGTCATGTTAAAGAATTGAATTAATTATCAGATACACAACAACAAAAAAACATACTTGAATACAGTTTGGTTTACCAGTACTATACATTCTGCTAGCAACATTGACAGTATCTCCCCATATGTCATACTGGGGTTTTCTAGCACCAATGACCCCAGCTACTACAGGTCCAAAGTTTAAACCTAAATTCAAAAAATTATAAAATTTTACTATTTATTCTAGCAAAGATGATAACCTGATAACCTGTTGCAAATAAACTGAAAAGTAAAATTTAGCAGAGGAAATGTGATACATAATGGAGATTATAAGAAATAATGGAGATAATGGGAATTCAAATATTTGTATGCAAGTTAGAGTAAAATCTGTTAAAATCAATCAAAATATTATTAAGTAGTTTGTAATAAATTAATTTTATGTAATAATTTTAGAAAACAAATTCTAACAAGCTCCATGCATATTAAATTTTGACCCCTAACACATCCCAGGTAGTACCATACTCAACTTGTTTCTCCCTGCAGCAGTATTGTTCATCAAGGATCGTGTCCTTGATGAACAATGATCAAAGTTATAGTGATGAAGATAATTCCATATCAATTGACCCAGGCCATGTCACCATACATCTCAGACTTAGCTGATTTTTAAAATAAGAATTCCATGAAGATTTTAGTTCCAAGAAGATCCTGAAATATAATCAATTTACTTTTAGTAGATATTAGCCAGGCCGCTTTAGTTTTCTACTATTTATTTACAATATCTACTAAAAGTAAAATGGTCATATTTCAGGATTTTCTTGGAGCTTGAGGCTAAAATTTTCAAGGAATTCTTATTTTACTAAATACTCTTGACTGTATAAAAATCAGCAAACTCTGGATATATGGTGATATTTCTCCAAATTTCTGAGTCATTTGACATGGAATTACTCTTGAGAGAGGGTTGTAACCACAATTAAAGTAGCCTCTGCATCTGTAGTGACCTTTTTTGGCCTTGGGGAGGTAAATTAACTTAATAAAAAGACAATAAAATAAAATAGATGATAAATAAAAACACATATAAATTAAAAAAATTTTTTTTTTCTAAAAACAAAAAAGTCAGTTTGGTATTTTTTTTCAATTTTAATTTAAAAAAAAAAAAGATTATAAAGATTTTCAGACCTACAAAGTTTTAAAATATCACAATGATATATATACAGTCTTTTTAATTTTTTTTTTCCATTCATTCAATTAAAAAAATTAGTGTTATTTATTATATTGTACATGATTTTACCATTATATTTGTAAACAATTAATAAACTAAACAAATTATAATGATATTGTTAATTATGAAATCATTATTGAATTTATTTTATTTAGTATTTTTTATTGAATACATCAAAGACACAAAGATCAATGATTATCATCACATATTTAAAACTTAATCTGGAAAGTATATATTTTAACATGTTTTAGTTTTATTTTGTTAATCTCTTAAATATGCTTAAGCTTAAACCAATGAGTTTTTTTGTTATGCCTGCACCCTTTAATAATGTCTACATGAAAATAATAAACATAAAATACATATTTTAATCATATTTTCAGATTTTTGAAATAATTTGTTAAAACATCATTATCAATTGTTTTCAATTAGCCATTAATTATTTAATGGCTAATTGAAAACAATTAGCCATTAAATAATTAATGGCTAATTGTTTTAGCCATTAGTTATTTAATGGCTAATGTCAAGTAATTTTAAACAAAATTACTTGACATTAGTCATTTCTCTTACCAGATTTCATTTCAAATGTATTAAATGCATTTTTGTTCATATCCTCAAGTGTATTTCTCATTTCCATACTAAATGTAGCAAGTGCTTCAACGTGTTCTAGGGTTTGTAATTCTTCCTGAATGTCAAAATATTTAATTATTAGAAGAAAAAAAAGATTTCTAATTTTAATACGATATCACTTATATATAATCATATAAAAATGGTAAATTAAAAATTGCAAAAAAGTGTAGAAAAATAAAAACTTAAAAAATTACACAAGATTGTATGTTTAAACCAGCAGCAGCCATGTAAGTTTCTCCAATGGTTTTAATTTTTTCAACAGACTTAAAACGCTTTTCTGAAAGTAACTAAAAAATATTGTTTAAAGTTATTTTCTTGTTACTCAATAAAATAAAATTCAATAAATACAGATGCATATAAACTTTTTTTAAATATATTTATTGTCATGTCTTTTTTTAAATATATTTATTGTCAGGTCAGGTTATCCTGCTACTGGTAACATGTAACCCAGTACAATCTGCTTCATGTCCTACTCCCCCCCCTGCCTTAAAGCTTTTGTTTGAGTAAAGGCTAGAGATGGTGTCTTAATAAAAATACTCATCTTGGGCAGATGTTAAATGCATCCGGCTACTGTCTTGTAGAAGGCAAAGATTTAAGGGGTAAACAGATTTTATCTGTTGACCAGCCTCACACCCCTGCTTCATCTATTAGGCGCAGATGTATTTTTAATACTTTGTTTCTAGTTTAGGATGTTGAATGCTGGATCTTCTTGACTCAATGCACAGGTTTTTCTTGTGTCTCTGTTTTTATGACTAGAAAACACATTTTATTATCTCCTAATGAGGGTACAGCTCTTAAACTCAGTTTTATGGTAGGCCGGCTGGTAGTCAGGTATTCTGAACTCTGTGGTAGCTCTCAGAGAGGCTGATTCCATCAACAGCTGAAAAATATCAAAGTATTAACAGTGCCATGTTGCGCATGTTCCTGTTTGTAACTTTGATGTGCATTGCCAAGGTCACATTGGAGCCCTTTGTTGTGGCTCAGGGTTTATTAGTTGAAATGAGGCAATTATTTGGGCTATTAAACAGTGTACTGAGTACTATCTATGCTTCGTGTCAAGTTCTTTAACAAATTTAAAAATGAATAAAGTACCAAAAGCTATAAAACACAAAAAACCATTGTTATCACCAAGTTCTCTAAACCTATCATTCACTAATATTCGTGGTCTTTGAAGTAAATTTTCTTCTGTTGAGTCTTATCTCTTGCAAAGTTCACCAGACCTACTTGCTCTTTGTGAGACTAATTTGAGTTCAGCTGTCTCATCTTGTGGTTATCTTCCTTTAATTTGTAAAGACTCCAACAGTCATATGCTTGGCCTGGGCATTTACATTCGTAAGAATTTACCCATTTGTTGGGAAACTAGGTTTGAATCCACAGACTACTCCTTTATGTGCTTTCATATAGCACCACTTCACTCTATCACCTTACTCTTTGCTTTCCTTCATCTCAAGATTGCACTCTTCTTGATGTTATTTTTGATCATATTGACCAAGCCCTCTCTCTTTATCAATTAGCCAATATTGTTGTTGTTGGTGACTTTAATACTCATCACACTGAATGGCTTGGCTCTAGTTTCAGTGACTCTGCAGGCATTAAAACCCACAACTTTTGTTTTTCTCAATCCCTAACTCAAATAGTCAACTTTTCAACTTGCTTTCCAGACAACTTGAATCATTTACCTTCTCTACTCGACTTATGTCTTGTTTCTGATCCTAGTCAGTGCTCAGTTTCTCCACATTCACCCTTAGGTGCTTCTTATCATCGTACCTCTTACAACAACCTTCAAGCTGACTGGGACTCTTTCCGTGATTATCTTCATAATGGCCCTTGGGTAGAAATCTTTCGGCATGGAACCTTTTATTCCCTCTCGACAATTTCAGGTCAAGATTCACTCTTCTCCATGGATTTTCTCACATTATGCTGCTGCAATTGCCAATCAAATTTGTTACTTCCATACCTATCAGCAAAATAATTCCCCATAACAGACATCCTCTTATTACTGCTAGAAACCATTGTAAAAAGGTTTTGTCTAACACCAAAGCCCGCAACTCTCAGGTCATGAAATCTTGTATTTTATCACAAAAATAAGGCTCTCGCGACTTCTGGAGAATCTTTAATAGTGTCAATAATAAAGGCAAATCTGTAATTCCACTTCTCTTGTTGGTTCAGACTTTGTCACTTTACCTAAAGACAAAGCTGAATTATTTGCTAAGAACTTTTCATCAATACCATCTCTTGATTCCACTAGTTGCGTTCTACATGATATAGCCATCAAACAGGTTGATCCATTGCTTGACATTCATATCACTCCAGCTTCTGCATTAAAAGTGATTTCCTGTTTAGACTCTTCTACAGCTTGTGGTCCGAACAACATACCTGTTGTAATCTTGCTGAAGTATTCTCTGGAGCAGGTTATCTATACTTTCAAAACTATTCAACAAATGTTCCTCAGAGTCTTGTTTTCCATCCTGCTGGAAAGCAGCATCTGTATTCCTATTTTCAAAAATTCTGGAGAGCAATCTGACTTATCTAACTACCCTGCCATTAGTCTTCTTCCTATCATAAGCAAGGTTTTTGAGTCTTTAATTAACAAACACTTAATCTCTCATCTTGAATATAATAACTTTCTGATCATTAATATGGATTTTGATCTCCTTGTTCTATGGTTGATTTGCTAACAGTAATAACCGATAGGTTTTATCGTGCATTAGATAAAGGTGGAGAGGTTAAGGCCATTGGTTTTGATATTTCTAAAGCGTTTGATAAAGTTTGGCATGCTCGTCTTCTCCATAAGCTTTCTTCTTACGGTGTATCTGGAAACATATTCAAGATTATTGAATCCTTCCTTTACAATCGTAGTATAAAAGTTGTCCTTGATGGACAGCACTTTTCTTCTTTTTCTATAACCTCAGGGGTTCCTCAAGGTTCAATCCTTGGCCCTATATTCTTTTTAATTTACATTAACGATCTTCCAGATATTCTGAGGTGACATTGCTCAAAGATAATACTACCATTTATTCTTGTCATGATGAAGAAGCCAACACTCTCTGATTGCTTGGAGGGGGCATTTGAGCTTGAAAAAGATCTCACTTCTGATGCGGCATGGGGCTCACAGTGGCTGGTGAACTTTAATTCAGATAAAACTTGATTTTTTTCAGCCAACCATTATCACAATAATTTAGACCTTCTCATATTTATAAATGGCAATTTACATGATGAGTCATCTACCCTTCATCTTCTAGGATTAACTCTAACTTCCAATTTTTCTTGGAAACCATATATTAAATCCATTGTGAAATTAGCATCTACTAAGGTTGCATCTCTTTATCGAGCTCGCACTTTCTTACTCCGGATTCTATTCTCTATCTCTATAAATCTCAAATCTGGCCTTGTATGAAATACTGTTGCCATATATAGGGCAGATCTTCTAATGATGCCCTTTCTCTTTTAGACAAGGTGAAAAAATGCATTGTAAGCATAGTTTAACCTGCTCTTGCAGCCAACCTTCAACCATTATCACATCGTCGTAATGTTGCTTTTCTTTTTCTTTTCTGCAAATACTATAATGGGCACTGCTCTTAAGAGCTAGCATCTCTTGTGCCATCTACTAAAATTCATTCTCGTGTTACTCGTCATTCAATTAAGTATCATCCTTTTTCTGTGACTGTTCTTAAGTGCTCCAAAAACTCTTATTCCTCTAGTTTTTTTCCTCGAACATCAATTCTTTAGAATTCACTACCTTCGTCTTGCTTTCCTGATTCATATAATTTGCCATCTTTTAAGTCGTCTGTCAATCGTTATCTTGCTCTACAATCTTCATCTTCTCTCTTCCAGTAACTTCCAACTCTAATAAGTGGTTGCTAGCAGCTTTGTTGGAAGCAAAGATGTTTAAAAAAAGAAAAGAAAAAAATATATATATTTTAAATATTTTTTATAGATGTGTACTTTTATTTTATTTTATTAAAATTCACTCCTAACAAGCCTGAAAGCAACCACTATTTTGAAGTTACTAAAAAACAAAGAATAGAGTTAAAAGCAAGGAATTGTTTGACAGAGGAAAAGTTGTAAGCTCTATTATTCAGAAAAACATGAAGATGGAATAGAATGTAAAGAGTTGAACTGCATGTAAAAAAAAAACAACTAGATAAATTAAAGTTTTTAATGCATGCAGAGACAGATACAGTCAAAGAATGCAAATTTGCTGAATGACAAGTCAAGCAATAATGAGTTTTGGTTGATGGAACTAAAGATGATAGCTCCCTTGAACAGTGACCATGCTTACAATGCGTTTTTGGATCTTGTCTAAAAGAGAAAGAGCATTATTTAAAAAACCAGTCCAAATATGATAACAGTATTCTATACAGGGACAAATAAAAGATTTGTAAAGGTAGAAAACAGAATCAAAAGTCAGATAAAGGTGAGCATTTTTACTATAATCAGTGTGATCAGGTAAAATAAATTAAAAGTGACAAAGAAAAAAATCATTGAAAAAAAATTCATTAAAAAATTTTTTTTTCATTTATTTTATAATGCTTTATTTTTACTTAAATTTATTAAAAAATGACATATTTTTTTGTCACATTATTACGATCATCCTCTTTCTACTTCTTGCCTCTGATCGAAGTAAAGCTTATTTGAATTATTTTCTCCCTAATCTTCCAACTCAATATTCTAGAGCAACTGATGAGGTATAAAAATGTTTTATCTCCTGAATACCAAAAAACACTTTAACAAAATATAATCTCAAAAAAAAAAAAAAAAAAGGGGGATAAAAAGTTTTGATGGATAGGCAATAAAAAAATTGAATGCTGTGTCCTAAAATACTTGTTTTAATAAATTTTTTTTAAAGTTTAATTTTAAAAACAAAAATGAAATAAAACCATACACTATCAAAATCTACAATAATTTGGTTGAGAACTCTTAAACATTCCATGCCATCTCCATTTGCATCCAACTCCAAATAGAACTCTGAGAAGTTACATATATTTGAAAACAATACAGCAACACTTACGCATGCCTGTGCATAAAGCTCCTGAAAATTAATTATATAAAAAATATTATATACAGCAATTCTATATACATGTAAACTATATCAAAGTTAAATTATAAAAAGGAAAAACATTATTAGAGGAGTTAGACATAACTTCTTAACAGAGTTGCACAAATATGGAATTTTTTGTCAGAAAAAGCCATTTCTGAAAAATCTTTGATTCAAAAATATTTATAACAAAGTGAAAAATTTGTACAAAAATTTTATATGATTTTGTAAGAAATTTTGTCAAAGAGTGCAACTCACATTTGCTGATGCTTCTGCCAGCTACAACATTAAATCTGTATGACACTAAGTGATTTCAAAAATTTATTGAAAAAATAACAAAATGAACAAAAGTTATTTATTTTTTAGGTATTTTCATCTATAAAATTTTTTACATAAAATATTATTACTATCTATTTATAAATATTAATACAACGTTTTTTTTAATGAATTCATTTCTTGCAAGGTTAAAATCAACTATTCTTTTTTCTAGTTCGGAGATAATAGAAAGTATAAAAGAAAGAGAAAAGAAGTTGGCAAAAGACATCAATTACTATAACTCCAAAGCATTGATGTTTGTGGAATAAAACTAAATAAATAAAAAAAATTTGAACACAAAGAAAAGATTGAAACCTGACTTAATGATAATTCATACAATGGGTTTTGGTTGCTAGAACAAAAGATGATATTTTTTTAAAACTAGTAGTTTTTTTTTATACCAACAGTCCACATACCTTTGTTAGTATGAATTGGCGCAATTCTATACGCAATGCTATACTGCCTTCTTTATTACTTTCCATAATATTAGATATCACTTTCAAAAACATTGGTTTCCCAATTTGCAAAAAGCAGATATTTTTTTTATTTCTAAAATTTTAGCTAATATTACAAAGTTTCTTCTAATTTTATTGTGGTTGCCAGTAAAAAAACAACTTAAGTATCATCTGCTACAAGCCAGCCAGACTTTTGAATTACTTCCTCAAATGATTTTTAAAATTAACATTATCATTCCCAAAATACAATTTAACACAAAAATACTGAATAAATAAATAAAAAAGTAAAAACATTTGAAAAAATTATCCAACTGTTCATCTTCTGAAACTTTATGTGATTTTACAACCTTTTTTCTTAACAAATACCAAGTTACTTTGTTAAACACTTTCTGACAAAGAATACAACATTCACTCGTTTCATTCAACTATTGTTTTTCTTACAAACTAAAAAAACAAAACATTTTTAATTTAAGCTTTTATTCATAGCAATATAAAACTCATGGTCTAAGTAGAACATTTTGTTTTTTTACAGTAGAGTTACAACTACTTGGTTTAAATGTAAAGTCATTTTTAAAATTAAAATACTTATTGGTAAAACTGAAAATTGACAATGTAATTATGTTCACTTTGTTTGCAAGGTAAGAGTTTCTGAGAATTGATCTAGGCAAATCTGTTCAAAGTATTCAGTACTCACAACTTAAGAGCATTTTATTAAGGTTTAAAAAAATAATAATAATGATATTTAGTTGATGTATTGCATGCATACTTTACTCAAATAAAAAAAACATGACTCAAAAAACCTCTGTGCAAAATTTTAACCTTTTTTTTTTTTCCAGGTATAAACAACCACTACACATGTATACATTTGCTTATTACTATACTACTTGAATATACTGCTAAAATGATCTATAACTTGAAAGAGTTCAATTAAACAGATTACAGTAAGAGGTTAAAATTTAAAAAAATAATGTAGTAATGTGAAGTTACTAATTGTCCCACTGTTGAATGCCGACCCTAATTCCACGGGCTGTATATATTTTAAATATTTTTATTAAATATTTTTATTAAAAAAACTATTTTTAAACTATTAATTTAATATTAAAAAAAAATATGTTTTTATATTTAAAATTTTTGCATTAACATAATTTATATAAACAATTTAAAGAAACAAACCTCATTGTCCTTGCTTTGTAAAAAATGTTCAGCTACATGAGCTGGCAATATGTTATATAACAGTTTTTTATTATATTTTCGTTTATCCTCCATTTCGTCTCTTTCTTGTGTAGCTTGTGCTTTCCATAGAAAATCTAGCCGAGATATCTGTTCATGCTTAAAAAATTATATCTTTGATTTAAAAAATAAAAAATATTATATCTTAAAAATATTATATCAAAGTTAAAAATATTAAATTTTTGATTTAAAAAATTAAAGTAAATTATTAGTTTTTTAGTTAAAAGAACCTTTTAATTTATAAAAGTCATTCAAATAAAGTAGAAAATCAAATCAATTGGAAAGAACACATTGGTTGAATAGAAAAAAACATTGGAATCGTACAAAAAATAAGATATATTCTGAATAAAAACTGTTTAAAATCTAAAAATAGCCATATTATTATACATTTTCCTATAATTCATAAATTCAAAAAAAAAAAAAAAATTTATTACAATATAAATAAAAAAACAACAAAAAAACAACAATAATACTTTACCAAATACTCATAAAAACAATTAAAAAATATATACTTGTATAATTACCAAAAAAAAAACAAAAACTTAAGACAAAAATGATAATTTAAATTAAATATAGCTGTTTTAAATCTTTTTTATTAAAGTTTGTTCAGAAAAACTTATTCAATAACTGGAAACAAAAACTTTTACTTAAAATATTTTTATTGCAATTTTTTAAAGAAAAGAATAGAAATTTAAAAATATGTGTTTTTTTATTTTATAGAATACATCCAATAATATAAAATAGATACAAAATATAAAAAATCTTTAAAAAAACAATAAATTAAAATAAACTAAAATAAAAAAAAATTTGAAAATTTTTTTATTTTACTTTTGTCAAAGATTGTTATATCTTTTGGATCTTTAAAAAGATGTTTGAAAACAAAAAACAAAAGTATATTTAGTTTACTTATTTAAAAAAACATATATAGAATACAAAAATTTATATAAATATAATATTTATAAAATTGAATGCATTGAAATTATTGTTTATCTTTGATAGATTTAGAACATTGTAAAAACATTTTCTATCTTCATATCACAAAATATTTTATCTCCATATTATAAAATATTTTATCTCCATATCACAAAATATTTCATCTCCATTTTATAAAAATATCTTTTTAAATCTTAATCACTTTAAAATTCAAACTTTTTGATCTACACTTTACTTTTTATCTTTTGATTTACACTTTATTTTTTATCTTTACTTTTGATTTACACTTTACTTTTTATCTTTTGATTTACACTTTATTTTTTAAACTTAATCACTTAAACTATCATTATTTTTAAAAAATGATAATAAATGTAATGAAAAATTTGACAAAGAAAATTATTTTTTCTCCATAGTTCAATACAAAATATGCAATGCATTCAAAACAAAACTCGATAAACAATTAGGATTATTTCATTTAGTATTTATTTATCATTTTAAATATAAGACATGCGCTGCACCTGCATTATGCTTCTGCACCTGAACTAATGTTTATAACTTAATATTAGTTAAAAAAGCAACAAAAAAAAACTAGTAACAATAAATTCAAATAGCAAAATATAGTTATGAATAATCACACAACATTCAAGACATATTTTAAAAATCCAGAAAATTGTTTGGAAAAAACATCCAGAAAAATTCTGGAATATGTTTTTCCTTATTTTCCTTTTAATTTCGCTTTTAGCTGAATTGTTTCTTATTTTTTTCAAACCTTTCATAATTTTTGTATGAGAAAGGAGTGAAAAAGCTAAGAAGAAATGTTTTACAAAAGTATATACCTAAACTTGCATGTATCAATAATGATTTGGATATCCGGAAAAACTAAAAGTTGAAAATAATATCCGGAATTCCGGAAATATCCGGAAAAAGATAAATCCTTATAAAAAAAATTTAAAAAACTTACTAGGTAACTGTAACAGCATAGCGAAAATAGCAAATACAATGTCATACAAATTGTTTCAACAAGTAAAGGAGTATGTTCAACTACTTTACTAAAAAAAAAGTATATCAATATTGTATAATATATAATATAGATGTAATTTAAGTTATAAAATTAATTAACATTAAAATGCCATAGCATCAGCAATAAATAAAAAACAAATCATTACAATTAATTCATTATCATACCATTAACCTGTATCATATCAAACTCAGTTAAATACCTTTATTCTCTACCATATAGCTATAAAGACACACAAAAACTATTCTATCCCATAATGCTGTCCTGGAACATTATTCTAAATCATTATTCTAAACTACCTAGCTATTGTATACCATAAATCAATTTAGTCTCTATTCTTTATCAGTCTCTATTGTTTACCATACAACTACTAAGTTCCATACAAATATTTTTTCCCCTTTAACTATCCTGTTACATAAAAATTTTTCCTATACTATACCAAAAATCTTTCCCATACTATTCTTATATTTGTTATGTCATTATAATTCCTGTTTTTAGTGTCAGTTTAAGAGCATTTCTATTGAGCCTTGAAAAAAATAATAACAATCAGTTACTTTTGAAAAATAATGATTATATTTATAATTTATTAAATCAAACCTTGGACTAACCTAATTACAAAAACCTTTTACATAAACAATGTAAAAATTTTTTTCATCACATGTTGCAAAGGTTTTAATACTTTTTTTTTATAATTTTAAAACCAATTTGCTCACTAAAAAATTTATATAAACATTTTTTTTATTTAATTTTATATAAATAAACTAAAAATATTAACTAACTATATTATTGAAAAAATGTCTTAATTAATAAACATGTATACATTTTATATTGAGCTATTCCGTTGTTACCAATGTTATCATTGTTTAATTTAATAATATAATTAATAACATAATTTGCTATTTGTTAGTATTACTTATTTTCAACTTTTTGTTGCAATTACAAAATGCAATTAAAAAACTTTTTGTTGCAATTACAAAAGCAATTACAGCAACTTCAACTTTTGATAACTTCTGTTAATTTTTCTTTTAAGATTTTTTTAAAGTAAGATTTCAATTTTTTAAACTGCATTCACTGAATTTTAAGAGGCTTTTTTTTTTCTTCAAATTATAGTTACAACTCAACTTTTTAGGGGTCGTCAATAAATTTTGTCACACAATTTTTGACAATTTCCAACACCTCCACCCCCCTCCGCTAGTAACAAAACGCAATAAATTTGTACCCCTTCCTCCTTAAAAATTTTTGTTATTGTTTTAAATACAATAATATTATTAATTTTCCTAGCTGTTTATAATTTATAAAGTTTAATTATTATTATTTAATATTACTTTGAAAGTCATTACTTGTATGCATGTACAAATAAACAGCTAACAAAAATACTAATACAAAAAAATGTTTAAATATTTAATTTTTTGGTAACACAATATGTTGGCGCAGAGCCGTGGATAAGCAATTTCTCATAATTTAAGGCAATACTAACAAGGATTGAGGGTATGACTCTCTAGCAGGGTGCAATTTTTTGGATTTTAATGTTTTTTGTATTTTAAGAGAACATGTTTTTGTATTTTGATGTTTCTGAAAGTTGTTTTATATGTTTTAACTTTTATTGTTGTTTAATTATAACTATATTTATTTATTATTTATATTTTTTAAGTTTCACAAATTAATAACAATCAATGTGTACATAAATTGACAGATATGGCCCTAGTCGCAGAGTAGTTACATGTATGTAACAACACTGCGACTAGGGCTTTTAATTTATTCAACTTTATATCAAACTATAGGAGTGAAAAAAAGAATATGTGTAGTCCACTTCCACCATACCTATTTAAGTCAGTTGATGTATACATCAACTGACTTAAATAGGTATGGTGGAAGTGGTGGAAGTATACATCAACTGACTTAAATAAAATGACTAAATGGAAAAATAGAAAAAGTTAATTTTTGATAAATTTTTTAATAACTTCTTTAGCAATAAGTTAGTGTCATGGCGCGGGTTAGTGTCATGGCGCGGGTTAGTGTCATGGCACGGGTTAGTGTCATGGCGCGGGTTATCAATATAATACTTTATATTGATAATCTGCGCATTATCTATTGTTGATTAATAATAATTATTAATAATTTTTGCATCAATTATACATTGGCTATATCATTGACTCATAAAGCCATATACTCATAAATCATATAGGTATATAAATTAATCAACTAAAATTTTAGTCTATTAATAAAATGTCAATTCCAATAAAAATTAAGTCAGCTTAAAAAGTCAACTTTAATTTATGTTTAATTGGAATTGACTATATTACTTGTATAGTCAATTTTAATTAAATTGTATATATTGACAGACAGACTTGTCTGTCAATCATTATCTGTCGTCTGTCAATTGTTATCTTGCTCTACAATCTTTTCTCTTCCAGTAACTTCCAACTCTAATTAGTGGTTGCTTGCAGCCATTTTGTAAGCAAAGATGGTAATATATATATATATATATATATATATATATATATATATATATATATATATATATATATATATATATATATATGGTAATATATATATATATATATATATATTATATATATATATATATATATATATATATATATATATATATATATATATATATATATATATATATATATATACATATATATATATATAGTAGACTTCGTGTAGTTGATGTTTTGACGTCAGATCCCATTGCATTGCTTAATTTGTATTTTAAACGGTTTTTTAATTTCTTGATTTAAAAAAATATATATGGCTGATGATTGCCGCCAGGCATGAAACTCTGAGTACCAACAAAAAGTTATATATTTTTTATTTTAATACTAAATAATTATATTAGATCTATTATAAAAATCTTTGTTTTTATAATATTGATCACTTTTAAACGAACAAGAGTATTTTTGTACATTATTATACAAAAGTCATTATACAAAATATACAATATATATATATATATATATATATATATATATATATATATATATATATATATATATATATATATATATATATATATATATATATATATATATATATATATATATATATATATAGTTCACTTACTTGCAAGAAGATACTGTGTCATGCCACTCAAAAAGATTTTTATATTTTAAACACACCAGTAACAAATAGGTGAAGCCAAGAGTTCCTAATAATATTGATTTAATTATGGACTTTATATGAAGGAATACAGCTATTGCAATCATCACAAGAAACATCATGTAGGAAATAAACTGAAAAAAACAGGAAACAATTATTATATTAGTAAAATAAAATTCAATTTATCAAAATAAATTTATAAATAAATTTATATATATATATATATACATACATATATATATATATATATATATATATATATATATATATATATATATATATATATATATATATATATATATATATATATATATATATATATATATATATATATATATTATATATATGTATATTTTATTATATATATATATTATATATATGTATATTATTTATATATATATATATATATATATATATATATATATATATATATATATATATATATATATATATATATATATATATATATATATGTATATATATGTATATATATATATATATATATATATATATTTATATATATATATATATATATATATATATATATATATATATATATATATATATATATATATATATATATATATATATATATATATTAGGGTGTCCGAAAAAAAAAAAAAAAATTTAAATTTAATATTGTTTAATCCTCCTTATTTGGTTCCAGTAGACCACCATAAAAATATCTGGGCTTTAAATCACTGTTTAGCTGAAAAAGGTGTTTTAAAAAAAAACTTTGAGTTTTTTAAATTTTATTGAGTTTTTTTTCCATTTATTGATTGAAACTCTGGTAGTATTCAATATTTTTATACAATAATCATATTAACTTAAACTTAATCATCCAATGCATTAATTCTGACTGCTATACTTACTGCAACTTTAAAATTCCATAGTTATTTTATTTTTTATTACAATTGCAATGTTTTAAATTTTTTTTAAAAATGAAATACTAAGGAACACAAAAAAAACTTAGGTGGTACAAGAATTATTAAACTTTTGTTAGAAAAAATATATTTCAAAAACAAAAATATAGCCATAAAGTGCTAAATATTCTTTAAGTCTTGCTTAGTCTTGTTTATCTTTTAGACACCTTCCATCAGTTGTCTAAAATCACCATCATTGTGTCGCCGAGTCTGTCTTTGGAATGTGTCTTTCTAATGAAATCCTGCACCAATTTGATGTGTCTTTCAGCCCTGTCATTAACAACTGCTAACTGGACACAAATGTCTTGAAAAATTTATTGTTAAGATTTTTCTCCAAATTTGACGTTCCTTCTTCTTTACATGAGAGAATGTAATCTTTGGTTATACCAAGTTATTCCAAGATGAAGAAAAAAGAGATAAGACTACTGAGAAACAAAGCCTGATAGCTTTGAGAGGGGACAGACCTGTGTAAAAGGTTCTGGTTGTTCTTTGGCAAAGCTGTTCATCTGGAACATCATATTTTAATAATTCCACAAAAATATTCATACTCTTATTCTCATTTAAGCCCTGGTCAGCGAAAAAGAAAGATAACACACAGTAGTGTAATATACCTAGTGTGTCCAATACTAAGGTAAGAGCTTTGCTAATCTTTCCATATTCTTAGAGTAAAGTGGATCTATCATGATCTGCAATAAAATTTTGCTCTAAGATCATTGAATGGAGCCTGAGCTGCCATTGGGCTCTTCAAAAATAATAAACAGTAAATGATCACAATATAATCTGTTGCATCCTGTACCATCTTAATCATTGATAGTGAGCTGCTTATTGTATTTCCTGGTCATTTGCATTGCTAACAGATACAATGAATCAGTCATAAATCTTGTTTCGTGATCTGCACTTGGTTGTAGAAACCTGAATTTTAACAAATCTGCATTTAGGTAAAATGCTTCCAATTGACATAAATCGTTGTATTCACCTCAAAAATATTTGTTTTAAGAGTTATTGTGCAGAACTGCATTGTTTCTTTTTCAAAGGTTGTAAAAGAGAACTCTAAGAGCAAAATTAGCTCCCATCAAATTTCTCCATGTTGGCCAATGTATTCACACCTCTTTCAATATTAAGCCAAAGATCTTGATGTTTTTTGGATTGACTGGGTCCCTTTGTTTCTCCCTGTAATTCATCATAACATTTTATGGTGCCTAAATTTATTATTATTATCATTTTCTGTCATTACTCTCAGAAAAAAGAAAAAGAAAAAAAATGCATATAGTTTATAATAAAGTATCATACCTGCACATTAGCCAAAGAATTGGACAAGGCAAAAAATAAAAAACAATATTTCTAATTGCACCTTGATGTTTTCCAGTGTTTGAGCAAATTGTGTCATGGCAATCTGGTCTGTTAAGTTATAAGTTATAAGACTCCACAAAACATTGGATAGCCAGTGCTTTATCTATTCCTTTAGAGGAGGGTACTTCAAGTATTCCCAGGAGAAAGTCAAGTGAACCAGACTCTGGAGAGGAAACACTCATTGCCAACCTTTCTACTGTTTCCAAATTCTTGACCTCTGTCCAACTTTGACTGACTTTGTGTCAAAGTGAATAACTAGTTTTAAACCCCTGATCTTATCCAGGTTCTGATCTCTTACTATATGTGCTATATTATGATCTTTTACTATATGTGCTATATATCTCTTACTATGTGCTTCATTCTCTATAACTTCATTGTTTTTTCTTGCCATCTGTGACTTGTGAGCATGTCAATATCTACTCCCCCAGCTTGAAATAGACAACATTGCTGTTTCAGCTCTCACACTAACTTGAAACCTAAAAAAAAAACAGAACACTGTTTTTTCTTTAGGTTTCAATTTTTAAGTTATGTAACATTTCATTTTTTTAGGTTATGTAACATTTTAGTTGTTTTAACTTGTAGTTTTATAAATACTTTTAATATACTTCACTTTATTATACATAAACTTATTTACCTTGTCATAAATGGAATCCACTTATCTATAACATTATTCAGACTGAGTTAAAGGCAAATCTTGGTTATATCATACAACTTTTTTTTTTTGCAGTCTTAAAGTCTGAATCATAATCTGTTCAACTACGCCCACTGGAGAATTCCTGCTCAAAATTTCTCAAAGCTTCTTCTGCTGCTTTTTCAATTAATTGGCTTTCTTTTTTTTTTTTTGCTCAACCAGTTCCATTTGCTCAACCAACTCAACTCAGTTTCTCATCTTGTTGCTCCTCTTCTACCATTTTCTTCAGCAGGTTTTTCATCTCTTTCTCACCTTCAGCAAGAATTTCAGCAAATATTGTCATTTTTGTAGGACATTTTGCCATGTCTCCTTTCAAACATCTCTTCAAAAAAATTGAACCCTCCTTTGCAGCCTCTTTACTCCTTCTAGAATCATGGCTAATTAACTTGAAAATATCTTTCTTGTGTATAGAAAACAAAACATTGGCCTTGTCTAAAAACTCTTGAGTGTTTAGGCTCATGGTTTCTTTGTTCATCTCTAGGGTTCTCATCTTTAAAACTTTAATATACTCTGTATACAGAGCAATGATTCTGTTCCTAAATAAAAAAGTTACAACACTTAAAAGTATAGCATAAAACCTTATATGTAAAAATATTTGACAGATATCAAATCTTTTTCATTTTTTAATTTTGAAAATAGAACACAAAAAAACAAACTTTTTTTTTAAATAAAATATTATTTACATAAAATAACTAAAATGTTTCACAGAATACTTAGTTTTTATGACAAGAGATTTTTATATTTAGTCGCTTACTTAATAAAATCATTCATATTACTTGATAAATTTTTAACACTGATGATAAAAATTTGATCAAAACCTTTCAAATGTTAACCAGCTACCTGATGATGATGATGATGCACACATTTAATATTTTGTTTCTACTATCAGCATAACACATATCAACACTGCATTTAAGCTTGCCTGTACTCCTTAAAGGACTGTTTAGGATTTTAGGATGATTGTTTGAGTGTTTAGGAAATTTAGGATGACAATGTTTTGTCATCCTAAAAAAAATTCCTCTAAATAGACTTCCTTTCCTACCGGTTGGAAGTCTATTTAGAGAAAATATCTGGAGACAACAGATAAAGAATTTTTCTTCCACTAGCTTTTCTAACATGCCCTGTATTAGCCATATTTAATATTATTTTCTATATTATAAAATACAACAGAATTGATCACAAAATATACAATGCTTTTATAGATATTTTGCATATATGTAAAAATTGTCATTAAGTAATTAAATTTATATTTAAAATTATAATTAAGTGGCAGGATACAATATTTACTGCTACTGCTTTTGACCATCCTAATAACTGATAATTTATTAAATTTATTTCTCGTATTTCTCAATATATTTGCATAGTTTTAATGATAAAATGTAAAAAAAAAAACTAATTAAAATGAGTATCACACTTTTTTGTAAAATACCTTCAGCTTAACAATGACTTCAAGGCCAGATATATTTATGGTGGTCTACTAGGACCAAATGAAGAGGATTGACATAGGCAGTACACAATATTAAATTCGAAATTTTTTTTTTTTTTTTTTTATTGTTTTTTTTATAGAATTCTTAGTAAAATAGTAGGCAAAATAAAAATAAAAAATTTCAGATATTAAAATAAACAAAATAAAAATTTTAAAACTATTTTTAACAATATGTAAACAATATATTTTAATATAGTTATATATGAAAATATATTTTAATGTAAACTAATAATGCAAACTAATAATTTTATTTTATAAATATGGTGAAAAAAATTATAAAATATCATTTTATAATTTTTCTATTTTTACCATTTACATATTTGTTTTAGCTATACTTTAATACTATTAAAGTATAGCTAAAACAAATATGTAAATGGTAAAAATAGAAAAATGATATCTAAAAAATTTAACATTAAAAAACATAGCTATGATAAAAAACAAACAGACAAAACACAAGTAACATAAAAAAGCCCATAAATCTTTATTAAATACTGATGAATAAAAATATAACATAAAACCAAAATCAATTAAAATAAAACAAACATAGAATGATCAGGTGGCATAAAAAAAAGCAAATAATGCTTTTGTATAGACATAATTTGTGTTTAGGTATGTAATGGGCTTCTAAAACTAAAAATAATCGTACCAGTTTAAGTCAATTTCTAGCCAATTGTTTCAACCATATGAACATAAATTAGTTAAATTTAATTTAAATTAAAACTCCAAAAAAAATTATACAAATGTAAAAAATAAGTCTACCTGTGGATATTGACAATAGTTAGAGTTAATAGCTGGACGTCTGGTGATATTTTCATTTGATATATTTTTACATTGTTCAAAAATGATCTTTTCTTCCGGACAGAAAAACTAAATTAAGAAAAACATTTTAAAATAAAAAACTCATTTTGTAAATAATAAAAACTGCAAAGCTATATACATTATATAACTATACATATATATATATATATATATATATATATATATATATATATATATATATATATATATATATATATATATATATATATATATATATATATTCTTGATCAAACTTTTAACATTCAGTGGTTATTGTTAAAAGGTTGATGCATAAAAGAGTAACATAATTTTTCAGTTTTTAAACACAATTTTTATTTTTTAAATATAAATAATATAATATATATATATAAATAATATATATGCTTAAATATAAAATAAAAATTAAATCACAAACAAGTTTCTACAACATTTTAAAAAACATTAAAAAAAATGATTTTTTAAAAAAATATGATAAAAATAGGATAAACATAAATTTTTAAAACACTTACAAGGTTTGAGATAGCAGCAATATATATGAGAAAAATTACAAAGTAGGAACCACACTGATATAATGTTTGTAAATTTATACGTTTCAGCTCAAGAAAGTTTTCAAATTTCTAAAACAAGTAAAAATATAAAGAAAAGTATTAAAAAATCTTTATCAATTTTAAAAAAAATTAACTTATATATTTATAAGTTATTAGATATTGAGCATTTTCAAACAATCACACACAAATGTTTTATAGACATGCTTGTCCAAAATTTTCATAATAAAATAATAAAACTGGCAAACTCCAATTTACTCTTATTTAATTCTAACAAATATTTCGTAAATAAAGAATGGTATTTATTATTAATGTTATCAAAGAATAAATTAAGTTTGAAGCGGAATCATGCACAGACAGGTTTGTGGAGCCGAAATTTTTTTTATGACTCTGCTCAGCTACAGCTCCTAAGAAATGTCTGACTTTTCGGAATTTTTTTTTTAACCACATTTGCCTACCCAAATCCAAACCAATTACAGCAAATTATTTTTAATCAAATTTCATGTTTATGAGGTGAATGTATTTTTATTGGTACTCCACTACTGCATATTACATTAAAAAAGATTTTTTAAATGTAATATGCAGTATTAGATGTTTTGGGTAAATATACATTTATTACTATATATATTTAAAAGTTTACATTTCAGGTGTGTGAATTATGTTATTACAAATAAGTAGGTACAATTCGATTTATTAATCGATTTATATAATCGATTAAGAGTTACACAAAATTTTGAAATGTTTTAACTATTTAAAAACGTTAAAACACATCATGTAACTTGATATATAAATAAAATAAATTTCTTTTAACCAATCTTTGACTTGACTAATCAAAATTAAAATCTATTTTAATGAAATTATTTACCAACCATAACTGTAAACGCTATTATTGTATTATGTTATAATAATTTTGTAATTTATTTCGTCGCTAAAAATTTCATTGTACCCATCATAAAAATCATTACTAAACAGCATCATTGCAAACAGCAACATAAAAATTCATTGTTCCAATACAGCACTATAAAATTTCATCATAATTATTATAAAAGTCATTGCTAAACAGCATCATAAAATTCATAATCACATAACATCATCAATAAAAAAACAAAAAAAATCCTCTTCACTAGCAGCATTATTGCAGCAACATAAAAATCAAAAGTGCAAAACAGCATTAAAAGAAAATCAGTGAATAAACTAAAGGAAACAACTTCACCTACAGTGAAGTCTTGGTTGTCATCTTTGTCATGGTTGTTATCTCCCCATACAATTATAGATTCTGACCATTCACTGGGAACACAACAATGCAGGGCATGATAGCATAAACTCTTAGTGACATATTGTTCTAGGTTTACCGCTCGTCTAGTGTTTGTCCATTATGTTTTCATGTAAAAATGAGTATACTCTTGTGATTTCGTGCGCATCCAGGCACAATGAAATTGGTCTAATGCTATTGTTTGCCATGTATTGAGGCTATCTACTTATAATACTCCGTAACACTTTAATATTCATGCCTAAAAGTCATTCTCCTGCTGTTACCGGTATTCCTTTGGATGCTAGATCTTTAGACTTTTGGTTAAGAAAACATGATTGACAGGTAAGAGTGACTTTCTTGGTATAACAATGAAATAGAGTTATTATGAGGTCTATAAGCGTAGACATCTGCCATAAACGTTTTCACTGAGTCATTTAAAAAATGCATGTTATGATTCCATGATGTAATTTCAGGTAATTGATAAACTCCAATAGGTTTCACCTTAGTGCAGTCAAAGACTTCGCCGATAAATAAGCCAGTAATGATTATTGGTAAAAGGTCAGACACCATAATATTCTCGGCATAAAGTTGGTTATTCTCCCAACATGTGCAGACGTGGTTAGAGCTGAGATAAGCCCACTTTTGCTAATCTTTCTACTACTAAGGTATTTCTGGATTACATGGGGATTAAAAATGTTCTCTTTTGGCTCCCAAGTATTTTAGCTGAATGGATAACCTTCACATTAAACTAGGTGTTGTATTTTTCCTTCTCTCATTCTTTTTTTAACAATTTTCTCCATCTTATATATATCAGATTTAGGGCTCTTGATTCTGTGAATTTGATCTAGTGGTGGTTCGTTTTCATTGGCGAGTTTAACTTCTTCCTGTATTTTCTGGTTAGTTTCCTCAAAACTGAATTCTCCACTTGTTTCTATGGCCTCAGTGAGAACTTCGGTATTTAGAGCTATTTCTTTTGTTTGTTTCTTTTTAGAAATTTTTGAGGTAACAGGACAATGACTCCAATTACTTGATTTTTGCTAATAGTCAAATAATTTGGTGAGGGGTTAACAACATGCCACCTGACTTGGTTAGACCCACAATGAGTTATGGTAGGAAAAATGTAGACATTTTTAAGCTGGTTGTTACGGAAATAATCTTTGAACTGAGTTTTAGGTATAGCAGCCCATTTATCATCAGATTTATTAATTTATAGCAGATCGGCCCATCTTCATTAACTTCTCCTGTGGAAAATTTATTGTCAATATGTTTCATGGTCATAGGTACATTTAAGTCCAGCCTAACGTTAAATCAACTAAAATCATAGCCTAAAATTACTGGATGGGTTAAATCTTCAGCTATTAGCATTTCATGCTCAAACATACTACTTCCAACCTCAGTAGGATTTAAATTTTTACCAAGGATATGGAATGACGTTCTATTAGCCATTTTCATAGTACCATAATACGGTAGTGGTTTGATGACTCGATTTTTAATTTTTTCGAAAATTGTTTTATCCAATACACTGCATTTGGCACCAGTGTCCATTAGAATGAGTACTCTAAAATTATATACTTTGCCCAGTATTCGGAACCCGGGTCTTCTTCATCTGGATAAAATTCCAGTGTATTAGTGTAGTTTTGATTATGTCAACGATTATCAGAATGAGGTATGTTTTTGGGTCTTTCGTTGTATGATTGACTATTTGAGAAAGAATTGCAACGAGGTGAAAACAAGTTTCGGGTAATAGAATTCCAGAGGTTAGTTTGCGGTGGTGCATAGTGGATATTGTTTTGTGGGGAAATTTGTTTATTACACGACCTCTGTGTGTGTCCTACTCTAAGGCATCTATTACAAATTACTTTTCAAGTACGAAGTACGCTTGTACAAAGATTACGTCCGTTTGGTCTAAATCTTTCATTCCTGGTTGGATGATTGCTAAATCTCTTTAGTGATTCTACTTCAGTTCAATTCGTTGTTTTATTTTTGAAATTGGTTATCTGACGGGGTAATGCGTCAAGTTTAGCTTTGAGACAAGACATAGTTAAGTCAGTTCTGACAGTGTTCTGTAGCTACTGCATCTTGATAATCCACCGGCTGTTTGAGTTTTAGAGCATCCTGTAGGTGGGGTTTTAAACCTTTGATGAACAAATTCAGCTTTGTCTTACCATCAATTACAATTTGTTGATTTAGTTTATCTAATGCATTTATATAAGAGTCAAGGTCAGTATCCTGTACTAACCCAAAAAGTTCCATTTTCCAATTCCATGCTTTATTTCGGTTATCATAATGACAAAGGAACTGCTTTTGGAGCTGATTAAAGTCACTTTTGATAGGCTCTGTAAGTGTTTCCTTGTAGACTAAAGCGCTACCTTCAAAGTATAAAGGGAACGCAAGTAATCTTCTCATATTAGTCCATTGGTTATGCTGTGCAATGCGGCAAAAATTTGCTAACCATTCGGTAATATCATCTGTTTTCATACCTTTAAACACTATCAAATGTATTTCTTGAGTAGGTTTTAATGTTAAGCGTTCCAAATTTTTTTCTAGCAATATATTGTTCTTTTCTTCAAAAATCGTTTGGGAACGGCTGTTTTTGGTTTTAAACAGGTTGGTATCTGACAGGTCTAAGGAGTCAGTAAAATCGGAGGAGATGTTGAAAGAAGTATAAAGATTACTGGCGGTATGGATTAAGTTCAGTATACAGACATATTTTACCCAATCATAAACGCTTCATATAAAAATCACTAAGTTAATTAAGTCAATGATAATAGTAACGGTTCCGTGAGTAAAATAAAAGATGATTTAAAAAATATATAAATCTTTTCTTACGCAGTTGAATCAATCGGTCCAAGCAGAGATGGAATCTACTTGTATTTAGGCAGTGCCTCTAAATGTTACACAATGGTTTGTATAAAATGTTAATGAATTATATCCAAATGTTACGTGAATGTTATCTGAAAGAGTTGTTCAAATGTTATTTAAAACTGTTACATAATTGTATTTAAATGTTCCTAATTAGAATATCTTAATTAACTCTTATAATTTATCCTATACAATATTAACTTCAATA